ACCTCCTTTTTTTTTTTTTTTTTTTTTTTTGTGGTACCGGGGATTGAACTCAGGACCCTACACTTGCCAGGCAAGCGCTTATTCTACTGAGTGCTCTCTCCAGACCCTTATTGTTCTTATTGAATGACTAAAGTATTTAATACAACTATAAACTCTTGAATAAAATTTTACCTTTATTGGGGGAAAAAAAAAAAAGACTTCATGTTGGGCCTGTGTGCTCTGGGAATGCTACTGGCACTATTCCGTTGGTCCTCCACTCAGGATTCCCTAGTCACCCTCTTCAAGTAACACCTTAATATTATCAGATAGCCATCCCCCAGCACACACTTGTTTTAACGAACTGGTATGTACCCCTAATCTTAGAGCAGGGGAGCTGTCCAGCCTCACACTTCAATACCTCAGGACATAATGGAGCGTTATCTCACCTTACATTTAAGTCAATACTATGCCTGAAACTGAAACCCTAAAGCCCTGGTCAGTTTCTGATTCACTAGATCTTTTTTATGTCTTCATCCCAGTCCAAAAGCCTAACTCCCAAATCAGCAGCTCAGGAACCACTGCTGACCCTAGCAGACAATGTGGCACCAGCCCCTTCCTGGCTCCTAAACTGGAGGTGGGGGTTGGGGAGAGACCAACAGGGACTGAAGACTTGGATCTGCCTTTGCAGATAAAAAGGAAAATACACTATTCAACTATGGGCAGAAGCCAAGAACCACACAACAAATCAGGGCACAGCAAGGAAGGAACAAAGAGGCTATACCAGGTTTTAATCCTGATCTTAAGGTCAAAGGAAGCCAGACAACAAAAAAATACCCTTATTCCAGGATGAGCAACAGAACATAAGAGAATGTGTACACCTGAGAGTCGCTGACCGTGCAAAGTTGGGAAGCAGCAGGATTTTTTCTGGCCCACTTTCAAGCAGACAAACTGAGAAAGAATAAGGGAGAACAGTATAAACTTAGGTCTTGGAGCCTACCCTCTTAGGTGCTTCACTCTATCCCTGGGATGGTGTTCAAAGTCTGAGTTGGGGATAAAAATCACCTAAGTCTCTTTGGTTCTGAGAGGAGTCTTCTACCACATAACCAGAGTACTTGGTCATAATAAAATAAAGGCTTCTCTTGCGATGTTCCACTCATTAAGTCTACATAACCACAATCTCTCATTAGGAGTCTAAAGACTCTCCCCTTATGATGGGAAAGGGCAGGCACTCTTCCATCCCCACTCCACCCCCAAATCCCCAGTCAAACCAGGCGCTCAAGGAATTACAAAGCTACTTTTAATACTTTGGGGTTTGCCCCACAGGAATAAAAAACACTGGGAAAGGGTAACCTCCTCACCCCCAGGAGTGGCCCAGGGGGACAGAGGCTACCTGAGGGGAAGGAAGCACAAAAGGGACCCGCTGCAGACTCAGGGCAAAGGGAATGCCATCGGTGTTGGGACCTGTGAGCACTACAGGAGGAAACGCGAGCATGGTGGGACTGGCTCCAGGCACACAGGCGAAGGGCAAGAGGGTTGGACACGAAGCCACAAAGCTACTTGGGTTCCTCCTTCTTCTCGTTTGCCTTTTTCTGCTTCTGCTGCATGATCTCCGAGTCCCTGGGGGTAGAGATGATGGGGCACTGGGAGGTACCAGAGGGCAAAAAGGACAAGATGCAGGGGGGATGAAGGGCACAAAGGATAAGATGGAAGTGGATGGGACAAAGTTCAGCATGTGGCTGCTGTATTCCCACCCTAGGAAAACAAGAGGAATCCAGCTGAAGCTCAAAAGGCAATCAGTCTCCATCAACAGCCATCAGGCTGTTGCCCAAGGGGTCAAAAGTCTGGCCTTGTAGGTCCAATGCTCCCTATTCTGGAGTACCACACCCAGCAACACCACTGAGCAAATTGGGAAAAGGGAGGAGAAATGAACTGCAAGAAGGGCCAGAAGTACTGACTGTCATAACCATAACTGTACTTGAAATGTGAAGCTCACTGCCCTTGCTCTTAAGGTCACACCCAGGGACACTCAGAAATCAGACCGAGGGCAGACAACCGCCAGAGTCCCTTTCAGTAAGGATGTGACCTAACAATTCAAAGGGTGGGGAGGAAATAAAACTCTGGAGGTAATGCACTCTGCCCCTCACGACTAGTCCAGTTCCAAGCCTGAGGACACTCTCTTTCTTACTCCAACCCTTGGTCTACCCCAGCTCTCCCGTCCCGTCCCGTCCCGTCCCGTCCCGTCCCGTCCCGTCCCGTCCCCTCCCTGGGGCTACCTCTGCTTGCGGGCGGCAGCAGAAAGCCCGTCATCTCGGCGCTTTCCCTTAACCGAGTCGCTCTGCTTTTTCATATTCTTCTGGCGGGCGAGCTCACGCTGGTTACCGCCTAAGAAGAGAAGGTGAAGTGAGGCTCCGGGCCGCTTTGGACACAAGCGGGCGACGCGTCCCAACCCGGGGCTCGGCACCGGGCTGTCTAGGGAAAGAGTAGGACACAACGGAAGTTCACGGGGCAGATACAAGTCCTAGCGGGGAGGAAGACCGCCCGACCGGGAGCCCGCTGGCTGCATGTTTCGAGTGCCGGGGCGGTGTGGGGTCCCACCGGCCAGTAGAGTGTGCCGCGGGTCTGTAGCCGTGGGATGGGGGTGGGGGTCTGGAGCCAAAAACTCGCGCCCTAAAAAGAGATTCCCGGCTCTCACAGCTCCAAAGGTCGGAACGACCACGGCTAACAGGCGGAGGGGGGCGGGAGAGGGCGGCGGGCAGAGGCTCGATTTCCGGGCTCCGAGTGTGAGGGGAACTAAGGAGCGCTTCAGAAGGAAAGCCTAGCTGAGGAAGCAAAGAAGCAGCTAAGGCCGGCGACTCGGCCGTCGAGAGCAAGATAAACGGGAAGAAAAGGGCGAAAGGAAGGGGCCTCGGTGCTTACGGGTCATGGCGACGGCAGCGGCTCCGGCCTGCCTCCGTTGCGTCCCCTCGTTCCGTCCGACGTTGCGGGCCCCGCCCCCTTCTGCAAACGTAACTAAGGCGTCCTTCGCCCCGCCCCTCACGCCTGGGCACCGACTCCCATTGGATAGCAAGAGTCACGCGGGGCCCAGGACCAAGCGCCTGCCAGGCGAATCCGAGGTTCGCGGGCCGAGCGGGCCCAGCGGGCGGCGGGGGGCGGGGCTTCGCGGGCGCGGCCTGAGGCGGGGCCTGGAAAAAACTAGGCCGAGTCACGTGGCGGGGAGGGGGGTTGAGGGTGCGGCTGGCGATGTGGCGCTCGGGACCGGAGCACGTGACCGGCGAGTGACCTCACGCCGCGGCGGTTGGGGGTAAAGAACTCGCCCAGAGGAGCGCGGAAGCCGGCCACCTCCTTGCCGCCCCATTTGGGAACTGAACTCGGCCTGCAGAGCGACTGGGACCTGTGTTCACGGCTCGCGTGAAAAGCTTCCACGAACGCAGCTTCCTCGCTGCCCTACGCCGTCATCCCTGTTCTCTGCTAAACCACTCAGCGCGAAAACTCCCGCGAAACCCACCCTGAGTGTTGCTCCAGAGAAACTTTTTCCACCAGCGCTGAGGCTTGAACCTAGTGTTCCTGCAGACACATGCTCCCGCCACTGATGTGCGCCTCCAGCCTCGCACACAAACTGCAGATGGAGTGGCTCCAAAATCAAAAGCTGGAGTTGAGCCCGAGATTTGGGGACGCGTGATACACGGGCAAGTTAGGCACAAGACAGCAGGCAGGGAGAGGCCCTGGGCCCAAGAAGGAGCCAGGATGGCCAGGCCTGAATCAGAAAAGTCAGAAGCTGAGGGCAAGAGTCAATAGAAGCCAGGCATAGTGGCGCAGGCCTGTAATCTCAGCCCTCGGATGCTGTGTGTTTGAGACCAGCCTGGGCTACATAATGGTTTATGACTAGCCTGAGCTACCTCGCGAGACCCTGTCTCAAAACTCCAAAAACTCCTAGAAAGTCTGTCCAGGGTCTGGGTCCACTGCTGTTGGGCGCTGTTTCTCTTACTAATAGACACTTCTTATTTACCTGTGTCCTAGATTCAATCCTCGACTTTGCGATACATGGATGCAGATTACTCCCTCATATTTTGTCCAGTTTCCTCAGGAGTTTCTTTACTCCTCTTCCCACCTAGCCGTGCCTGATTTGAGAAACAATGGAATCGCTCCAGAAGCTAAAAGTGAAATTTATTCTCATTTTCAGTTCAGTTTATTTTGTGTGTATAAAACTCTCTACCAAGAAGTTCAAGACCAGCCTGGGGAGTTTAAAGACTTAGAAACACCCTGTCTCAAAATTCAAAACAAAAAAAAAAAAATTTTGAGACAGGGTCTCAATATGTAGTTTGTGTTCACCTTCAATCCACATCCTCCAGCACCAGCCTCCCAAGTGCTGGGATTATAGGTGTGCACCATCACACCCAGCTCCAAAATTTCAAAAAAAAAGAAAGGGCTGGGGATATAGCTTAGTGTGAAGACCCAAGGTTCCATCTCAAGTACCAAAGAAATAACAAAAACAACCTAGAACTCTAGAAGAATTAACTGGATGCAAGAGAATTCCTAAAGGCCAGGTGCCATTCTATATAGATGCCTATGATCCCAACATTGAGAAGGCTGAGACAGGAGGATCAATACAAAATTGAGGCCAGCCTGTGCTACATAGTGAGTTCAACCACGTGTAGCAGGAGGAAGGGAGGGGAAGGGAGGGGAAGGGAGGGGAGGGAAGGGGAGGGGAATTGCTAGCCTGAACTATGACCAAACTGTTAATCTCAACACATAGAGGTACTGAGGTAGTTTCACAACTACTAGGCCAGCCTGGACCACACAATGAGACCTGTCTCTAGTAAACAATATGGGCTGGCATATTTTGTAATCCCACTGGTGTTTGAGTGCACTGGAGTGGGAGTGCACTGGAGGCTGCGGCTATGGATGTAGCTTGCAGGAAGTGCACTTATAGGCTCAATCCCCACTTTAAAATAAAAAAAAGGATACTTTGAAAACAGCACAAGAAAAGAATAGTTATAAATTTTGACTTGGTTTTCTCCAGGGAGTGTCCATAGCAAAACCAGTTGAGGCTGGAATTTAAAATTGGCAGACCCTCAATTTAGAGCCGAGGGGAAGGAATTTTTCTGTGCCTCAAACTTGTAGTGATGTTCTTGCCTCCATCCCAGGAGAGGGTATAATCAGAGACTACAGATGTAATCACCATGCCCAGATGTACCAGTCTTTTTTTTTTTTTTTTTTTTTTTTTTTTTTTGCAGAACCAGGGATTGAACTCAGGCCGTTGTGCTTGCCAGGGAAGTGCTTATTCCACTCGAGCCATCTCCCCAACGCCATCTCCCCAACCCCAGATGTACCAGTCTTAAAAGTACATATATATGAAGCTTCATATTTTTTTAAATTGTATGTATTTGGTACGGTGTCTCACTATGCAGCTTGGTCTCGTACTGATCTTCCTGTCTCAGCTTCCCCGGTGCTGGGATTACATGTGGCCCGAAACTTCATATTTTAAAGAATTACATTAATGTATGTTTGCAATATATAATAGTTATGTTTATTTTGGCTGCATGGGTTGGGTTTTTTTGTTATTGTTGTTTGCTTGTTTTGGTATGGGGAATTGAACTCATGTACTGTGCCTATGACCTATATCCCTGCCCTGTTATGTTTTGTTTTGGGAAACTGATACGTGTTTATAACATCTTTTTTTTTTTTTTTTTTTTTTTTTTTTGGTGGAACCAGGG